GGAAAGCAGGAGCAAAGGGAATCAGGTACCCGACACCTGGGCCGCCACTGCCAGGCCCAGAGACCAGCGCCCCTTCCACTGACGGACTGCAGGCCATGCCAGCAAACAGCACTGTCATTCTGGGCAGTGACTGGCCCAAACAGATCATCTCTCTTAGGAAGTCAGAATGCAAGAAACAGATGGGACCGACATAGCCCAGAGAGAAGGCAGCAGGAAGAAGCCATAAAGAAGAGAGGAGGGGGCCAGGCGCAGTGGCTCACACCTGTAATCCCAGCACTTTGGGAGGCTGAGGCAGGCAGATCACGAGGTCAGGAGATTGAGACCAGTCTGGCCAACATGGTGAAACCCTGTCTCTACTAAAAATACACAAATTAGCTGGGCGTGGTGGCACATGCCTGTAATCCCAGCTACTCAAGAGGCTGAGGCAGGGGAATAGCTTGAACCAGGGAGTCAGAGGTTGCAGGGAGCTGAGATCGCACCACTGCACTCCATCCAGCCTGGCGACAGGGCGAGACGCTGTCTCAAAAAAAAGAAAATTAGAGAGGAGGGAAGGGCATGACGAGAAGGAGAGGGAGACAGAGATAGAGAGATGGGGGTGTGGCTCAAAGCAGCAGTGAGAACTACAGGTAGAAGAGACTGAGATGCTGGGTCTCAGGAATGGTGGGGTGACTGCCTAGGAGCTCAGAGGACAATGAGCAGAGCTGCTTTGGGGACACCAGAGTTGTTTGATGATGAAGAGCCATGAGGCACAGCTGCACAGCGGCCGAGACCATTTCCTGGGCTTCTTCCCTTCTCCAAGACCTCCCTACAATGATCCCCCATTTCCAGAGCTGCCAGCATTTGTGCCACCTGAGCAAACAGGTTCCTCTGGGCCTTAGAATACTTTCTTCCTTTCTTCGCAAGGAACCCAGGGTGCTCTAGTGCGCGGCTCTGCAAGGAGGCATGCTCACCCCCAGGAGCTTGAGAAGAGAATATTCTAACTAATATCTACATAAGAAAGAAAAGCAATTGGCTGGGTGTGGTGGCTCACACCTGTAATCCCAGCACTTTGTGAGGCCAAGGATGGGGAGGGGAAGATGGCTTGAGCCCTGGAGTTTGAGACTAACCTGGGCAACCTAGCAAGACCTTGCCTCTACAAAAATTTTTTTAAAAAACTAACCAGTGTGGTGGTGCATGCTACTCAGGAGGTTGAGGCGGGAGGTTCACTGAGTCTGGGGGTTTGAGGCTGCAGTGAGCTATGACAGTGCTACTGCATTCCAGCCTGGGTGACAGAGGGAGACCCTGTCTCCAAAAAGTAAGAAAGAAAAAGAAAGAAAGGCCGGGCGCGGTGGCTCAAGCCTGTAATCCCAGCACTTTGGGAGGCCGAGATGGGTGGATCACAAGGTCAGGAGATTGAGACCATCCTGGCTAACCCTGTGAAACCCCGTCTCTACTAAAAAATACAAAAAACTAGCTGGGCGAGGTGGTGGGCGCCTGCAGTCCCAGCTACTCGGGAGGCTGAGGCAGGAGAATGGCGTAAACCCGGGAGGTGGAGCTTGCAGTGAGCTGAGATCCGGCCACTGCACTCCAGCCTGG